AGTGATTGGCATTGGATACTGCAGTTTCTAACGCATCATGAGTCATCTTTTGCGTTGCCAGCTCCGCTTGTCTGCAGCGATCACTTATGTGCAGGAGATTCGAAGTCTCTATGAGAGCAGACTTGAGAAGCACTTGCGTCCCACGGCTGCATACCGCGTCAGCATGGTGTTTCCGTTGCCAGGCGCCCTCTTAGCTCAGGGCACTCAGAATCTCTCGCCCTGTAGTTATAATAGCATTAATAGTAATCATACTTGTAGCACAAGATAATTGAAATAATGGCAATAATGGTAATGATAGTCATCATATGAGCAGGGAGCTTGTTTTCTGCTGCTACGCGGACCCACAAAGTTCTTCGAGATTCTCAGGAAATGGAGAGAGCGGGGGTGGTACCAGGAAGCGTTCCGTGGTGGGATTTTACCACCAATATTATGATCATGATTTATCATATCTTTGGGGAATACAATGCATTTATTTGTGTTTTCGAGTGCTGCCATTGCTACAGTAGTGTTTTATCATTGCTTTTCTGAATATCTTCTTGCGCTGCTTCTTGCACTTTGGGGTCCTCGGGTCTCCTCCTCCTAAAGCATGCCCAAGAGCCCTATAGCTAACATTCATTGTGCAGGCTGAGACAAAAGTATCCCCTAAACTCTAAACCCCTATACTGGGGGGAACCCACTGGTTGGGAAGCTTCATCTCAGTGAACATAGATCAGCAAAGTGAGTTCGGAAGTGGAGCTCAGGGTTAGCTTCCTCACAGGTTCATGCGCTGCACTAGCTAGTAGTTAGTAGTACTACATGAGTTGTTCTAAGACCATACTAAGGCACATAGTATATAGGGGTACCACAATGGGACCCCAGATGTTGTCGTGTTCGGGCACCTTGTAGTGAAGCTGCTTCATGTCGTGGTGCGCCCATGGCTGTCAGAAAGCCTTAGTTGTTCTGCTGCGGCATCGGCTATTCCCCATGCTGGATGATGCCGGTGGGAGTGCAAGGAACCCAAAATCCTAAACCCTAAACAGTAGTTTCCATTTCATTTTCCATTATCCCAATATAACCCCAATATAAACCCAATATATACCCCAATATACTATAGTAGTTTCCATTTTCTTTTCCGTTATCGCAATATAGCAAATGATTCCAATAGAATGCCACAGCTGGCTCCCTGAGGGTTCGGTGGCTCTTGCCTGCTAATTATGGTAACTGAAGCTGCTTCTGGACATAATCTATATACCCTAATATAACCCCTATATAAACCCTATAATCCCTATAGTTTTATAACCCCCCAACATAATCCAACGCCCGGTCCTTTGATGTCCAGCAGCGCTGTCAAGCGAGAGTTGCAAGGCGTAGAATTTGTGCTGAGGCAAAAAATTGGGATAATGTTGGGGTTATATTGGGATACTGGAAAATAAAATGGAGACTATTTAGGGTTTAGGATTTTAGGGGTTTAGGGTTTATGGGCATATAGCTGAGGCAAAACCCTCTCCTGGAAGTGAGTTCGAGGGTGGAAGCATGCAGCTCAGCAATGCGCAGCTGTTTCCTCAAGAGGGGCACGTGGGAGACTGCGTCTCAAGTGTTTGCCTTGTGTTCGGCCAAGGCGCAACACCGCTGAGATCACCAACACGTCGTTGCCAAAAGGAAGCTTCGTCAAGCTGCAGCCCATACAGTCCGCAACCCTGGCGTAGTTTGTTTCGACATGGCATATGAGACCAGCGCTGAAAAGCAACACAAGTGTACTCCCAAACATAATAGTCGAGGTGGTACGTTGAAATCCAGAACCCACAAAATCAAAAGGACCTCTAATTGTTGGATACCTTCAAGGGTACCTCATTTTGAGAACCCTCCCAGGTAGATAAACCCTAAACCCTCATTTTGAGAACCCTCCCAGGTAGAGGAGGCCAACGACGTAATTTCCAAGGCTCGCTTGAAACTTCAGAATGCTGGGAATGCGCTGACCATGCGTAAATACAGGTAGTTTAGGGTTTAGGGATTAGGGTTTTAGGGTTCAAGGTTTAGGGTTGTGAGCTAGAGTCTAAACTCCCTAAAGAGGGTTATAGGGGATTATGTAGGGGACTAGTATAGGGGTTATTAAGGGGGATACAAGGAGTTCAGACTAAAGCTCATATATGGTTACATGGGCATAGAAAGTTGAGGAAAGGGATGCGCAGGGCATAGGGTTTAGGGTTCAGGAGTTAGAACTAGACTATATATTAGGGGTATATATTAAGTTTAGTAGGAATAGTGGAAAAGACAATGGAGACTCCTGTATAGTACAGTCTAGGTACGAGTTTACTACGGTGAACTTGGGTGTCATTCCTTACGCGTCCTTACAGTAGGGATGATGGTAGCGGGTGAAGAAGAGAGCCACTGTTTCTCAAAAGTACCACCATGGTATCTGTATAGGATGATAGACAAGCACAGTAGGTTTTGAAATTTCTTTGATTGGGCGGTCGGCGTAAGAATTATTGCGCGTAGTCGTTAGCTCGTTTTTCCATTGCTATTGAGTCGGAGGCTCTACAATATGTATATAGATATGTATAGGAGCCCCACGTCTCTTTGTACGAAAGCCATCAAAGGGTATGATACTGTAAGGACACACTCCCAAGTAAGTATTCACAGGTTTCCTCGTTGACTTGAGAAAGTAAAGAAAGTACAGCACATTGAGCACTGGGTCTGAATCCGTCTGACAGCTTGGCTCAAGCGACTCAGTTCCCGTTTCTTTGTGTCTTTTCCCATCCCCAGCACCATGGGTTGCAGCGGTTCCAAGGCAGCAGCCAAGCCCTCCACCACGGAGGCTGTGGCACCTGCACCGGCACCCGTTAAGGAGGCTCAGGCCGTGACGCTCGAAGCGGAAGCACAGGTAGGAATTAGTGAAAATGATCCCTACATGCTAGTGGTCAAGCGGGACTCACATAATCTACCCCATATCTCCCTAGGATGCCACGATAATCCCCAATGTGAGAAGCTTTCAGGTGGGGGAGTTCTTGGAGAAAGATGAGCAAGGCAAGGCAGAGGACACAGAGACGGTGACAACCCTGCCAAAAGAGGAGGGATTTTTTCAAAAATCCTCCACATGAGCAGTAACAACGCTTCCCACAATCCCCTTGTAATCCCATGTCTATGTACCCGTAGGGTCCCCCAGCGTACCCCTAGTAGAATTCTCCCAGGACTCACCGGTGTTTGCGAAGGAGGTTGAGGGTGATGCTCCGGCAAGCGCTTGCACATGCTCCGGTCTCTGGTGAGCTCAATTTCCAGCGGTTGTCCTAAGAACAAGTTGCTACAGCATTTTAGGAAAGTGCAATGGCATTTTCCTTGTCAAGAAGTCTTAGAAGTAGACTTCTGTTTTGCTAAATTTAGTGGATTGTTGCTGCAAGCAGGCAGCCGCCACAGAATTGGACACTCTGCAAGTCACATGTGCTTGGCTGAAGGGCCTCGCAGAAAGGCACATCACTTGCCGGGTTCCTCTGATCAGTCTGAGGCTGTTGTTCCCACATTTCACATGCCAGCGATTGCAGCAGGAGACGGCTTCAAGACTTTTTGGGGGCAGTGGTCAGAGCCGCGCACTCAGGCGTCCATTGATCTCACCAGGCCTTGCTGACTTGAGAACATGCGTCGCACCCCAAAGTAAGCAGAACTTGCCCAGTCGTTCTAAGCAGCCCGGACAAATCAGGTTCCCGATAGCTCAACCTGCGCACCAGTCATTCAAGCAACAAAAACCATTATGCCCGTGTGCGTGCTCCTTGAAGTTTAGTGCATGAGCCTGTGTGTTGAAGGTGGGGCAGAATGGTTCATGAGATGCCATGAGATGAAACGGTGTTAGTACAATTTGAAAGACGCCGACCCTCATAGCACATGTCCTTGACCTTAAGCCAAGGTCATAGACTGCCATCAGAGAAAATGCAAGATTGTAATTGCCGAAGCTGGCAACATGGCTTTCTTGAACTGCGCGGCAACCTTGCCCGACCCAGTTCAGTGTATAGTCCTCCTTAAGTAGATAGAATATGGCTTTGGGTATATTCTAATAAGAACCCCATATAGCCCATATTCTATCTACCTAAGGGGCACTATCAGCCGACCAAGGCGGTTTCCATCAACGAAGCTGATGTAAAAGTGGACTTGGCGCCTCTGAAGGATCACCAGGACTGGTTCAAGAAGGATGATAGCAGCATGTGTGGGACAGTAGTCGTGTGCAAGCCGTCTTTCCGCGTCAAAGGGATACCAGGCTGGACAAGTGGTAGGTTCCATAAGTTCCGTAAATGGGTATTACTATTTCTATTACTTTTACTATTACTATTCCTATTACTAATACAATTACTATTACTATTACTACTACAATTACTATTACTATTACTACTACAATTACTATTACTGGCTCCCCAACATGGAATCCTAAATATCCTCCAGGTTACAGGGCAAAGGGGACCTCTCCCTTTTTTTTGAAGTCCCCACTTAGGGTTTAGGATTTTAGGTGTTTAGGCCCTAAACCCTAAACCCTAATAGAGTTTAGAGTTTAGAGTTTAGGGATGTCATTTAGGGTAAGAAGCAAAGTTTTGTGAAGGTGGCTGCGGCCTCAAGAGCCCCCTGCTCCGCCAGGAAGGGTGGACCGAAGGGGGGCTTACCATATGAGCTGTAGTCTAAATTCTTTAAAGGGGGTTATATAGGGGATTGTACGAGTGAGTATTATAGGGGGTATGAAGGGGGACACTAGGATCTTAGACTATAGCTCATATGGATGTAGATAGGATAGTTTGAAGCTCAATTGATTAGGCGGCCTGCTTAAGAACTACTAGCTCTGTTTTCATCGGATTGTTTTTGGTGGTTCCTCAGAGGAGGTGAATTTCTGGGGACACTAGAAATACATCGAGTATAAACGGAGATTGCAGCCGTCGCCCTTAAAATGTAGGGCTCATGTTGAGGGATTCCCATGTCTTCTTTGTCTGACAGCTTGGCTCAAGCAACTTGGTTCCTGTTTCTCTGTGTCTTTTGCCATCAGCAGCACCATGGGTTGCAGCGGTTCCAAGGCAGCAGCCAAGCCCTCCACCACGGAGGCTGTGGCACCTGCACCTGCACCCGCCAAGGAGGCTCAAGCCGTGACGCTAGAAGCGGATGCGGTGCCTCCAACTGCGGGCATCGTGGACACGGTGGAAGCACAGGTAGGAATTAGTGAAATGACCCCAAAAGAGTGGTCAAGCGGGACTCACATAATCTCCTTTTATGACCCCATATCTCCCTAGGATGCGGCGGTAATGTTGCACCCTTCCTTCATTTTTAGGGCCGCCTAAACAAAACAGATCAAACAGGGTCACCTAAACAATAGCTATGTCCTGAATAAGTGGCGGCGAAAACACATTAGAGAGGGTCCCTACGCAAAAGTGAGTGCAACATTAACCCCAAATGTTTGGAACCTTCAGGCGGGGGAGTTCTTAAAGCCCGATGAGCAAGGCAAGGCAGAGGACACAGAGACCGTGACAACCCTGCCAAAAGAGGAGGGAGTTCTTCAAAACCACCTCGACATGATCACTAACCGTGTTTCCTGGAATCCCCTTGTAACTCGTAATCTTTACGTACCCCTAGGCTTCCCCAGATTCGTTTTATTAGAGAAACTCCCAGGACTCACCGCTTGGTGGTGATGCGAAGGATGTGAAGATCGAGGGTGATGCCCCGGCAAGCGCTTGCACGTGCGCTGGTCTCTGGTGAGCAAGTTGCTACAGTATTTTAGGAAGGTGCTTAGGAAAGTGCAATGGCATGCTCCTAGCCAAGAAGTCTTAGAAGTAGACTTCTGTTTTGCTAAATTTAGTGGATCGTTGCTGCAAACAGGCAGCCTCCACAGAATTGGACACTGCAAGTCACCCGTGCTTGGCGGACGGGCCTCGCAGAAAGCACATCGAATTTCATTTTGCACTCATATTTGTCGATCGTCCTATAGACGCACATACAGGTCGCTGCCACAAATTCGTCAGAGGGTCGCCTCCAGAAAGGCGCCAATATCTCAGCCTTAAAAAGGGACCCTCATTTTTGGGAACCCTAAACCCTACATGTCCCTGTATGCCCCTTTGGTAGTTTAGTGTGCTCCCTAGTATACTTCTATTAAAGCCCATGATCATGAATTATACTATGGGAACTAATGACTGCAGCTCATGTACCCCAATATATTGCAATATACCCCTATATACACCCATAGAGTTTTAAACATCCCCATGTATCCGTGTGGCAGCACATTACCAGCAATTTGCAGTCTTAAGCGCGACTGTGGAGCCACAGCATCCACCTCTGCCTAGGCTAAGGGTTCTTAAAATCGGACCCCCTAAAGACCAGACCCTCAGGACATGTAGTTCTTTAATCGTGCAGTGGTCTCTGTACACAAGGGATACAAAGGAGTTTGTAAGACGCGTGGGAGGCATTGTATGTCTTTGGCAACTACGTGTAGACTGATAGACGAGTATGGCATAATATGACATTTGAAATTTGATTGATGTGGGTGCTTGTTGACAATTATTGTCTGTATGTGCTGTTAGCTCTGTTTTCATTGCAGGGCTCCCCCTACAGGAATGCTTTATGTATGACAAACCCAGGCGCCAGCGGTATATAACCAGTATAAAACCCATCAAGGGTATGATCATGTAAGGACACCCTCCGAGCCCCGCTACAAGCATCCACAGGTTTCCGCTGTTGACTTGAGGAAGTACAGCACATTGAGCACTCCATCTGACAGCTTGGCTCAAGCGACTCAGTTCCTGTTTCTCTGTTTCTTTTGCCATCAGCACCATGGGTTGCAGCGGTTCCAAGGCAGCAGCCAAGCCCTCCACCACGGAGGCTGTGGCACCTGCACCTGCACCCTCCAAGGAGGCTCAAGCCGTGACCCTAGAAGCGGATGCGGTGCCTCCAACTG